CGGGATCATTTGCGGTCCTGGGATCATTTGCGGACCCGTACAGACTCAATTGCAGTCAGTGTGATTTTGTATACTATGGCCAGACCGAAAGATCGCTGAAGATGCGGGTTTCCGAGCACAAAAAGGCTGTCTTGATGTTCGATCATAACTCCAAACTTGCGTGCCATGTTCACGAACGTCATCATCGCATGGATTTTGAAAACGTTGAAGTCGTCGGACATGAGGCACATTACCATCAGCGGCTTTCTCTAGAAGGTTGGATGTCTGTAAAAGACCCGAACGCTGGGAATGATCACAGAGTCATCCCTGAAGTCTACAAGTGCTTGGCACGCACTTAAAATTCTCTCGAGTCACGCGTATACAGCACGCGCAACGTTTTAATTTTAAAAAGTTTTTAAATCGGGCGCAACATCAAGCGGTTTTTTTCAACTGATGAAGACTTAAGAGTTAGCCGAAACGTCTTGCTAAAATATACATGTCAGCGACAAAAAACGGCACTTTTATCGATTAAATCTTAGCCCGTTTGTTTGCTTCCTTCATGTTTGCCGGGATTCTTCATCATTCTCCTCTATTAACTATGATCTGGCAAAAACGAAAGCAGAGCAGTGTAACCAGACGACAAGAAAGAGGAAAGCTGAAGCAAGGACAAATGAAAAACATATAAGCAATCTAACGTAAGAATGTTATAAACCAAACACGTCAGCAGATAATAATTATAGACATTACTGGCGATTATATCTGTACATTTCAATCAGGAATTCACACATCCATTTTAGGACTCCCTGCTCTTTCAGTATTGCGAATGCACAAATCTGATTGGTTCTTTCACCGTCGACTATTTTTTACCGATTTACCAGAATTGATCATGCATTTGTTTTGAAAGAGAAAACCATTTTCCGTCCATGTTTTTTGTTTTCAATTTAACCCTTATTGCTTCAAAATACCTATATGATTGAAACTCTTGAGAGTTATCATGTGGTGCTCCTTACCCCCGAAACAGACTAATTGCCCTCGTTTTCTCTACAGATCTAAGTGTTTTTTTTTTTGCAGAGTCTTGAAGGGTAAACAAAGGGCTACAATTGTGAACACAGAGCTTAAAACTAGGAACGTGCAATCGGTACCGGACTGGTAATACATACTGGATTGATGATTATCAAAAATTTTGAACAATACACCAAAGCAGTCACTTTACGGTACTGAAACCATACCAGTGTAATGCAAAGACTACATGGGCCCTAATGCCTTGAGCCTTCACAACACGTCTTGTGTGTTCATGGGGTGTCCTGAGGGTTACACATTCGATTTTCACACAGGTGCACACACGGAATAAATTACAATAGCTATGATACAATTCCTAAAAAAAAAAATGGCTGATTTTTCCTATGTTTGAGCCGGCTACCAGAAAGCATCAAGTCTCCTAGCCACTTCCTTGACCACGTCGTAGTGGTTTGCATATAAGTGAATATCGTGTGACATCTCCATCCATTTCACATGCTTGGCATCATCCCCGGCTTTCAGGGTAAATTTGTCGAATGCTTTCCCGCTGTCGTCATGGTAATTAACTGCTTGACTTTCCATCCAAGAGTTATCTGTGTTCCTAGGATCGTCTATATAACCTTGAAATACCTTCAAGTAAAGTACAATACATGGTCCGTTGAGCTAACTGTCTCGTATAACTGAATTAACATATTCTGGAATTTGCCTCAAAATTCCCTACTCATCGGTATATTTATGGTTTGTTGCAAACAGGATTTTATGATGCGCCTAGAACGAGCCAATCCACGACAGGACTTGGATAATTTGTGATGTGAATGGAAAATGGAAGTTCGACGTTCAAAGTTAAAACGGACACTGGTCATGATAATGATAGCATTCCCTGATAACCCTTATGTTTGCTTAAGTGTGACTTTCACTGGCGTCGGACTCGTAATGACAAACACAGGGCGATACGATCTAATGAAAACCAAACCGACGTAGCCGAAAGCTGAACACAGATTCTGCTTATGTCTCTGTCGCTTATGATCTGGTGAAAACTACATTGTCGGAGTAGTAAGCAGAAGCCAAAGAACAGACCAATCACAATGCTCGATTCCAGGCATCGTGATTGGTTGGTTCTTCCGCTTTGTTTGGAAATCAGTATGGATAATTGACAACCAATCAACAGTGCATGTTATCTCGTTAGTTACATGTATTATAATATTTTAAGTACCGTATTTCCATGATGAAAAAGATCCTCCAGTGAGTCATGAATTCTTTTATTCTCTTCAGGTGAAAGTTCCAAAGAGTTCAATGCTTCCTCTCCAAACTCTTTTTTCAGTGTGTTGGTAACAGTATCACCTGGATCTACCATGCCCTGGTTTGATGCAACAAAAGGACAAAAGATTTAGTTTATTCAATTGCAATTCACAAATTATGGGAGAACACTGGTATACGAAAATTCCTCTATCTCACGAAATTTGTACGATTTTGGTATGAATCCCAAAACTTGGAAATTTTTTTTACAAAGAAATGTATGCTAGGAGCAGGCTCTTGCCCCATGGCATACAATTCTTTGTAAAAATTACCAAGTTTGGGGTCTCATATGCATATTTTGACGAATTTCCAACACATTCTTATAAAATTCAGATATTTTCTACATCCAACATGATAAATCGAGCAGTGAGGCTTATTTTTTGTTTCAGTGAAAAACATTTGGAAAAGCATGACATCGTCAAAGTGATCCACTGCCTAGTCTAGTTAATTTCTAAAATACACCCCAATTTAGACAACAGTTTTATTTTCATTTACTTTGTTTCACTGGCTTCAAGCCTCTGATATGTGACGTAACAATTAAAAGAAACAGCGGCTACCTTTAGGCTGTGTAACCTACCCCAGGTAGGGCCCATTCTGAACAATCCGTTCTTTGGATGGCAACAAATTCGAGGACTGGCTTTCCATCTCGTATAATTTTTTCTCCTGAGCTGTCTCGCTTCCACCTCAGGAGGAAATATTAAACAGCTATAATGAGCCTGGAGGAGGAAAGGGGAGGGAGGGAGTAAGGAGGGCAAAAGGAGAGAGAGGGGGAGGGAGGGAGGAGGAAGGAAGGGGAGAGGAGAGAGAGATGGGGGTAGGGAGGGAGATATTGAGGGTTGTCATCATTCACCGAAATACTTAATGAGGTTAGCTACATATGAAGGGTTCATAAATGCACATGCATGGAAAATCTTTTAAATTTTCCATAAATTACTAATTTGTCATCACAATTCACATGTGTATCTTGTAAACAGGCAAGCTTTTTCTGGAATTCACATGTACATCCAAACATGCGGTTACTGGTAAGCACCTGGTGCACTAAGTTTTTCAACTACTAGTGATTGAAGCAGCTTTATTCTTTTAAACTTTTATTATGGCAAGAAAACTGGAGCAGTCTTCACAATTCTGCCTTGTTTTACTCCGTACGTACATTCATTCCAACTGCTTATTAGGGATAGGAATGGGTTCATATTTCAAGTTGAAATAATGATTCTGCAAATTACGACAGTTGTGCAAGGCAGGATTCTTAATTGATGATGGGGAATTAATTGAAGGACATACAGTCTTATGTTACAGTTGTACAGCACCAATGTATACCTTGTCACCACTGGATCAGCGGCATGGTTAGGACCCCATCTACCTAGCAATCCTCTACCAACCATTCCAGTCCTACCAACAGGATTCCTTTAAGACAAAGAAATTTTCATTACTGACTGTTTTGCCTAAGCCCATGGGCAAATCTTCAATTCATCCAGCATTGGGGGAAGAGGTTCTCAGCTGTCACTGTTAACGGTATTGTTCAAGTAAACTTCAATACCCCTCTAACAAAAGGAGTTTTGACCAGTTTAAACCCTCAGTCCCTCTACATGTAGATTCAGGTACACTTAATAAAAAAAACTTGTCTTTCCCTTAGAATTTTCAGTGATCCTCTATAGGGTGCGTATGGATATTTTCTGGAATCACACAGTTGAATGATTCAGAAAAATTGACTACAAATATTGCTACATAGCACAGTAAGTAGAGATGAAACTTAATCCTCGTTGGCAAAAAGGAAGAAACCTTGTTGGGTTCATCTTGTAAGTATATTCATCTCGTTGGGTAAAAAACAATGCTTCTTGGTATACTATCATGATTGATAATTTATGAATTACTTTTAAGTAAAAACATTTAAATTTAAATTTACCATTTAAATCAAATTTAAAGTATTTTTATTAATTGGCATTCATCAAACAGTAAATTCTAAAAAGAGGGAGCCTGAGTGAGAGAGGTTTTCCTCTTGAGTGTCAGATTCAATATAACTTACATCTACTTTCAGTTGGTTTTGCAATTGCTACACTTCTCTAAGCGATTGGCTTAAAAAACTTGCACTACAGTACTTTGTCATCCAATGAACAGTAAAACCAAATTAAAGCAATCAGTTCTATTACACATGTTATCCCAAACTTTGTGTTGGTTACATGCGTTTTCTTGGAGTTTTCTAGTTTTCCCTTGTGAGTGGCAACTGACTGATAACTTTTGTTTTGGTTTCCCAACACTTAATTAGGACTGTCCATATTTACAATAGTCACTTGTACTTAGGCAATGTAGAACAACATCAAAAGAGATAACAGACAATGAATTTGTGAGATAATTAACTACAGACTAAAGTTTGAATGATGATGTGCTTGCTCTCTAGGATGAAGTTTTCTCCTTTACCTTGGAACTCCTTGCACTAATTCATACTCTCCGTCCAGGCTTGTCCTGTCAGTGTTGTAAGCAGTATCAAGAGCATTGAATTTAAGGGGTATGTCGACTGGTCCATTCCTAAGGTCAAACAAACAAACAAACAAAGAACACAAGACATATTAATTATTATAATAAATGACTCACAATGAATTAAAGGTAGTGGGATGCTAAAATAACAGATATAAAACTGTAGAATTACATAATAACCGTGTTAAAAAAAAGCAGTCAAGCAGAAAAAAGTATGTGTCTGCGTAAACACAAAGTTCTGTCAAACTTAATTGGTTGTCATGGAAACATATAAACACTTACCACAGCAACAAATTCCCAGGTAGATGTCTGGAATTTTCCCATGAAAATGGGTGTTATTTCTTGAATATTTTTGAAGCTGTAAATATTCTTAAAGGTTTATGTGAACATTTTCTGTTCCCTCCCCTCTTATGTGATGCAATATTTACAGTTATTTTTTGTAGTTAATCTTGTAATTTGCAACCTGTTTTCAGTGCTACCTATGTAGGCTATGGTTAGTGGAAAGGAATTGTTCTTACAAGCATTACAAAGATCACAGATGGAGGGGTGCTGTTACTATCAGTAAAAGGCAGGGGCAGATTGAGGGAAGGCAGTGGATTGGGTGGCTAGACACCCTCCCTTTTGGAGAAGCAAAGTATAAAAAAATGAAAAAGACTGTGAATAACAATTATCACATTGTATTTTTGGCAGAAATAAAGGCAAACACCCTGGACGGGTGCCTCATTGTAATTTCTACTTTGTGGCATTGCTAGTATTTCTGGTCTTGGTAACAGTTTTCAATTAGGTCCCAATTCTCTAATTGAAAACAATTATTGCTACAGTTTGTGAGCATGTCCCATTGATTCTGCAATCTCAAGGTACAGTTTTAAAAGGAGAATTGATCAAGACTTAAGCTGTCAAGCTGACCCCATGAGAGAAACTTGAATTTGAATTTGAATTTGAAATTATCCTTTCTTGAGAATGCTTGAGAGTTTAATCACAGGCTTGGGTAACTTGGAGAAATGAATTAGAGTGGGATGTTTCAAAAAGAATTTAAAATGTTACTGTGCCTTGAGCAGATTTTTAGCATGTGATTTTTGCACTCATTGCTCGAAATTTGAGCAGAACCTTTCTTAGCACCCTTCTGATCCTTTGCATTGTGCCCCAGATTCCCTGTGCCCTTTCCCTCACTGTGCTTGTAGTTGTACACAGGTTTCTGTATAAAAAGGATGGGGGTGGCTGTTGTACCTTTTAGCGGTTTAAAAAAAGCGGTTTTCAGGCACCTCTTAGGGCGTCTAGGCTCAAAAAGTCCACAGTAAGAACTTTCATGGTACCTTTTAGGACATTGAGCCAAAAAAAAAAAAAATGTCAGAAGATAATTCTTAACTTTTAATTCTGTTTCGTTTAAAGCTTAAAGTTTCATTTAACATTATGAAAGTGACAGTTAATGTATAGTTTTGGAATTGATATCTCTTAGGGGTGAAAAAAATTTCAAGAGACGCCCACAAAAAAAAGATCTTTGTACCTCTTAGGGGGTCTTTTCAAAATTTCTGACGAGCAACCCTGTTCTTTTTATATAGGAACTTGTTCCCCCTGGAGCTTTTTCATCCTTGTTATCAGATGTCATGACATGACCGTCAAGTCCTTTGACATAATCTGTCCACTTTCCAGGTAGTTTTACATGTAGTACCTTATTTCTGGGTCTGCATAAGGTGGCCGCTGAAGAATGCGTTCCGAGGTGTAATCCACTGGTTTGTACTCTGGAAATGGAACCTTCCAGTCTACAAACTCTGAAGGTACTGGAAATCTCTTGACATCTGTGCCTGGATATACTAAAGTGCGAGCCTTTGTGTGCATCATAAAATGACACTGACTAGACTTAGCTAAAGAACAAAGAATCAGAATAGCAAACATCACTATTTTTAAACAACATTCTCATAACAGATTTTCTGCACACATCTTATCGTTTAGTCTGTCTGCGTAAGAAAGGTTCAATCACAGTCAGAATTTTGGGAAAGAAAATGGTTGAATGTGTCATAAATAAAATTTATATTGTTAACATTAACATAATTTGTTGTTGTACAGAATTTACTTGTCATTTCCACTTTGACGTAGCCTTTAGGCTCACTGAAATACTGAAAAACACGTAAACAGTGCGCAACACTGTACACCTTAAGATATCTATTACTAAGGTATATGCTTATCTGTAGCACAAGAGAAAATATGATGTCTGAAAATTTTTAGTTATGTGCAATTTCCTGCCACACAGAATTAAAGCTTCTTAAATATAAGGTACATGTAGGTAAAGGTACATGTTAAGTCTGTATACAAGCCAAGTGGCCCATAAGGCCAGAGCATATCCTGGTTTCTGTAGCATGAAGCGACTAAGAGCATTTCTACTCCCCCCCTGGATGGGATGCTACTGTAGTCCATCGCAGGGTTACCCCCAGCATTAAGTTCACCAGCACCCATTTGAACACCTGGGTGGAGAGAGGCACTGTGAGACTTAAGTGTCTTGCCCAAGAACACAACACAATGTCCCTGGCCATGGCTTGAACCCGGACCACTTCATCTAGAGATGAGCGCACTAACCATGAGGACGCTGCACCTCCCTTCTCTAAGCATGATATGAAACATAAAACAAGCTCTAAACACATCAAATGAATGTCACGAGCAAGTGAACATATTACACACCAAGCCAGCTGCATTCTCAGAAAAACATTTGGGTCTTTTATCTGATGGACATCAAACTTTGCACAATGATAGAGCTTTTTATCCCAAACAATCGTATCATTTTTTTATCGAGAAAGAACTTGTTTCAAGAGATAAAGTGAAATGCGAAAACTTATTGAAAAAACTTAATCCGTCTTGAAGATGTTAAGTTTGGGAGTTTGAATTTTCCCTAATTTTGTTACTTCATGTATCTTTAGAACATTTAAATTTCAGATCTTTATATCTTCAAGATGTTTGCTATTTCTGACAACAGTGTTCAGAAGAGAGAGCCACAATCATTTGCAAAAGGCCTCAGGCAGCTATACAATGTACATGTAAGTTATTACTGCGCCTTTCAATAACATGCAGACACCAAAATTCAAAGCTCAACCGACAAATACGTATTTCGCTACCATCAGTCAAATGTTCGGTGGCTCCTCCCAGCTTCTGACTACTGCTGAGTGCGTGGTAATCAACTCATTGAGCACAGTTCAGACAATGAAGTGCTCGGCAGCAGGCGGAAGCTGGGAGGAGCCACAGAACATTTGATTGACGGTAGTGAAAAATGCATTTGTCGGTTGAGCTTTGAATTTTAGAGTCTGCATGTTATTGAAAGGCGCAGTAAAACCATAGCAGTACTTGTTGATCTAGAGGAACTGACTTTTGTCAACTCACAAAGTAACACCTGTCAAATATTTAGAGACCCTAAGCCTGTTATGCAAAATAGATGAGTATTATAAATTAATAATTAAGCTAAGTATAATTTACCCAAGCAACTTTTAGCAAAGTTATTCTCTCATCTAAGGTATGTGGAAAACTTAGTTTACATCTCTTATAGACCACAAGTGCGTAGAAAGGCCGTCAAGTTATGCTGTCTGTGAAGTGTTTTGAAATGTTCTCGAGTCCATTTCATGCACGAGCACTAAAAATTGAGAAGTACAGATCATACCACGATAAACATGAGTTTAAATTATACTCACTGGAATGGCCAACGGCTGATGAAGCAGCTACAAAAGCGAAAATGCCTAAAGGAATCTTTGTAAACCGACGTAAAAGCATAGCAAGGAAACAGAAACTAGAAGAAGACCTAACTTCCTCTTGCGGCGGTCAAACCGAGATTTGTTAGGAAGTTGGGGCGAGCTAATTTGATTTGCCAGGGTGGGGTGGGACGCCGAGCACCACGGCGGCGGCTTTTTCAAAATGGGTACTCTTTTTTCAAATTTTTTAATTTTGTAATTTACGATTAAGTCTAAGTAAATTTTGTTTATTCATCTGCTGAGAGGGCAAAGAGCCATCTTCACCATTTTCTTTGAAAATAAAAACCCTTTTATAGTAACTACCCACATTTAGTAGACATTTACAAAATTATGCGAAGGTATGTGAAAGTGGTACTTTTTCTGTCAAAGTGGTGTACGAAAGGGTAAGGGGTTGGACTTCGGTGCAGAACCTCCCTGTACAAAAATTTTTAGAACACCCCCTGGGATTTTTTTTACTTCCATAGAATTATTATTCTGAACAAAAACAACATACAAAAGCGTTACAAATGGGGGTTATTTATTCAAATGAATGCACATAAAAAGCTTTGAAAATGAAGAACCCTGATGGGACGAAAAGTTAAACTATTTATCTTTACGCCATGAGGTGCATAAGGCTGTAACTGTCTCTCGCCAACTAGCCCTGTCTTGCGCTGCGCCCCTGACCTCCGCCTAGCTGGACCATCTCTTTTGCCTGGATTCTTTTTCCACCGTCCTTCTCCATGTGGTTTTAGGTCATCCCACTTTTCTCTTCCCTTCAGATTGCCACTCCATCGCCACCATGCAGTCATCATTCCTCTCCTTTCTGAGCATGTGGCCAATCCAATTCCGATGGGACGAAAAAAAAAAAAAAGGGGGAATTTGTTAAAAAATTAATAACATGCTTTTTTTTTGTTTTTTTTTCCGATGGGACGAAAAACATGTTATTAATTTTTTAGCAAATTCCACTTGAGTAGGCTCACAATAATATCAAAAGGCAATCTCATTGCAAAAATTGTTTAATCATGATACATGTAGTTTTACTTTTAAACATGCTTTTCAAAATCTTTATGAATTTCTTTTTGCTAGCCTGTAGGCTACGAAAATAATGATAATTTTAGCTAATTTTGACAAAACGTCAGGAAGTTTATTCACAATCTCATTTTGTATTTGAATATTTTGCCTTCTCCAAATTTGGGTGTTTCCCTTTTGTTTGTCACTCAGGGAGGCTACACATGACTTCTCATAACCTAAATGACTAATAACTGTGCTATAAACTTGTTAAATTGTCTGTAAGCCAATTCTAGAAATATATCATTTCAATGGCTGTTTTCTAAAATAATAAATTACAACTCTTATGTCTCCACTCACAATCTTCAAACCTCAAGATTACATGTTGGTGCTAAATATTCATAGTAGATTTATACGGTGAGCCCTGGCCAAGCCCAGACTGGGGCCATTCATTGTGTAGTGTTATATTATTATTTTTAGTCTTGGGCTACTGATGTTACTGTACTACTAGTGGAACTGTTGAGAACGTCTTAATACTGGGGCAGTAACAAATTTTCGAGTGACAAGGCCACAGGAACACCAGCTTAAGTACAAATTTTTTAAACAACTGCATTTGTACTGAATGATTCAACTTTCAACTGGATAAGCCATCGGGGATGGTATTTAGCCTTGCTACTAAAATATCCAATTTCTTTTCTATTCCATCCAGCCTCTGCTCAATGTTTTCATTGAATCTCAAGAGATGACTTGTATTTGTTGTCATAGCAATTTTCTTCCTCCATTTTCTGAAGCCGGTCAAAGTGAAAGCAATCAGAACAGTAAATGCAGCAGGAATTGGTTTACTCGAGGCCAGAGAACCTATCCATAAGCAAACTCCGATGCAAAATGCCAGTCTTCGTATGCACCAGACCGGTCCAAAGAAGGCATGCACAAGGAACGTACTGGACATCAAGAGAAAGAACTTGTTGTAGGATAGTCTGGAAAAACATATGAGACCCATGATGATCCAGAAAAGAAATAAAATCAGTGACAGTAGTTTGTTTCTTGCTGTTCCTACTTGATTTGGCAAAGCTGCTCCTGTGAAATTTAACATAAACCAATGCAAAGTCAGAATACATCTTCTCTTGCCAGTAAATTATGTGTTTGTCACACAGATGTCTTTGGAAGTGTAAGTTCTGTCCACCAAGCATCAGGGCCATACTGGAAAATATTTTACTTGAGCTCTTCCTGATATGGACCAAGCAAAGCCTGGGGTTCGTGCCAGAAAGGCAGAGGGCAATATTCAACCAGAAATTCTCAGAAAAGCATCAAATCATGGTTTCAAGGTCTCATGTATGATCCTGAGCTTGTGAGAGTCAATAAGGGTTTCATTATATGGATCTCAATTTACTATGGATCCTTATTAATTTTTGTCAGGGAGCAGATTGTTCAGGAAAATCTGGCCCAACTATTAGTTTGCATTTTCACTGTTGCATTACATCCAAACAAGCTCTTTAGTTATCAAAATGATGTTCTTTTTTCCAGAAAACATCAATACCTCACTAACTTACAGGTCTCTTGATTTGACCTGGCCCCCCTCCCTTCTCAACTCTCTGCAAATTCAAGTTTAGCTTTTTAAAAACCAGCCTTCCCCCTCAAGAATTTTTAGGCTGAAAATGAATGTTTTCTACAGTTTGCACATATAGCCATAGCCATTTCTCCCTCATCTTACTCTTGTCATCCAGATGGAAATGGACTATGCTGAAATGGTATAAGGAAAAATTATTTCTGAATTACTGTGAAATCAGCCACTGATTCGGTGGAGAGGCAAATCAAGGAGGGCTTTTTCTCACATTAAAAGGGGCACTGCCTTAAAGATCTCTCACTAATTATAATTTAATATAAATCATTCACCACCAATGTCTCGTAAGTAATTTAAAAATAGCACCTTCAGCTTAGAAAATGATGTTTCTTACCATCAATGCCCAGAACCTGCTGTAGAATTTCGTCTGTATAGCCCATGCCATTGTTATGAAGGGCAACCAGACTGTCAGTAACAACTTCAAAATAACTGCTGACGGCCGGCTGCAAGAAATGAACGACGCTTGCAATCAAGTCAGTGAGTACAGCGACAATTCTCTCTATGTCTTTCAGCAGGCTTTCAGTGCAGTATTTGTGTATTCCGGCAACAATTTCCTCCATCAAATCCACAACAGATGGCATCCAAGTACGAAGGACGTTCAGTACTTGAGAAAGGAAGTTTTGAATGTTCGGAAGAAATGTTGTGCAGGCCGCGAATATTAGGAAAAAAATTATTATCCTCTTTAACAGCGCCATCTCGTTGCAACTGCTCGGAAAGTAACTTACAAAAAGTCAGTTTTGTGTACACGAAAATGACAATCCTTAAAGGGGCTTGCTGCAGCTGCTTTAGAATAAGTACTGTACTGCTGTATTTTCAGAGAAAATATTATGTCGACGTCCTTCGATTACTCCCTTACTGTGGACCTTCAGTGTTGCTAAGTCGTTGTTCCTTGTTGTGTTTTTGCCCGGCCCGTGGAAAGTTGAGTTTCCCGCGAAAAATGGCTGTTGGCAGCTCTTTACAAATTGACGTTCTGTTCGACTTGAACCCTCCTTTGATAAACAGCTAAATGAAACAACTGCGTCATTAAGTTCTTGGCAAGAAAACAACGTTTGAGTAGAAATTTGCAGGTACCAGGGGTACTAGGTACCAAAGATAACTAGTTTTGTGGAGAAATTGTATTGCGTTACATCTCCGTTACATCTTTTTTTGCATGACGTGATAGTTGTGTCCGCTGAATCTGGTGATACTAACAGTGAAGGCTCAATTTTCCCTATCTGGAAAGGGAAATATGGCGATGATTGCGATGATTCAGTAATTCCTTGAGTTAGTTAGTGTTAAATCGTCAAGTTTACTTATGTACAACAAAGAAAAAGAGGATCAATGTCAATTTCCCTCGTGGTTCTCAGATTTGAGGTTGCTGATGACCTGCCTTTGCCCCAAGGCTTAGATTACAGTGGTTAGTACAACCTTAACTAAATGTTTTACAGACTTGTTAAATTACTTAAAATTATAGCTTTTGCTTTCATCCGATCTGTTTTCTCTTTGTGGACAAAATGTGTACTCCTATACATATTTCTTCTTAAATAACATTATCCTTATATATATATGTAAAATACCAAATTAAATAACTCTTCAAGTTTTCCTTAAAATTTTTCAGAATGTTTTTTTCACTTGTGACTGACTGACTTTAAACAATTCAATGAAATCACACAATGTAAAGATTAGCTAGCCATGGCTTGGGATAAGAGACACTATGGCAAGGTCAAAAGAAGTTCCCATAGATGGACACTTGTAAGTGGACCTTGTTTTTGGCTTACGAGAGGTTCAAATGCATTTATTTACTAAAGGACGATACCTTCTTTAATACATGTATGTTGCAGCCCCTGGGTTTGTCACAAGTAAAGACATGTCGGCATCAGAAGAGGGAAATTGTACTGGTGGGGAGGAGAAGGATCCTGCACCCAGCAATGTCTCTGAAGAAAAGATGAAAGTTCACAGGGGTGGACGATATCCTCATGATATTCACCTTGAAACACTAGCAAGAAATAGTGGTAAGGATCAGTTTGAAATCATGCCTTGATCACCTGTGACAGACTTGATTCAAAAGCTTTTAAAGTGGCACTGACATGCCAATCATTCTAATGTCATAGGTGTTTTTTTATTCAGACATGTATATCCATACCATAGTTAATAGAGGGGATTGATTGTGAAGCCCGGCAAACATCAAAGGAGCAAACAAAGATGCCAAGATTTATGTTGGAAGGTCCATGACCGTGCACATTCTTTTGTTTTGCATTCATATATGCATGAGTTACGTAACCAACACGTTTTTATTGGTTAGTTCCTCAGTGCAGAGTAAACAACCATTGTGTTTTGTGCACGGTCAAGGCCAAAAAAAGTGAACGAAAACATACAACAAAGAACCTCGTTGAGTTTCATAACCATTCCCCTCTATTAACTTTGTCCATATGTATATTATCTATCTATTTTACATATTAGGAGATTGACCAGTGATTTCATTTTATAGAACTACAATAACCAAGAAATGAAAGAAAATTATGAAGGGAATACTGTACGAAAAAGATTGATATCTGAGAACTTGATGAGATCACAGTTATTGCTGTCATCTCATGCAGTTGAAAAGAAAGCCAGATAAAAAACTGGTACTCAATTTGAACTGCAGGACCTTTGAGATGTTGGTGTAATAGCTCTGCTATTGACATGTGAAGTCACAGGAAGTCAAGAAACACCAACTTTGATTTATATTGGCTCGACTTCTTTTAGACGCAGAAATAAAGTTTTTAATTTGTTTTATATAATATAATTATTGTAATAATTGTTAATCTGTTTGATGTGAAAGATGCAGCTCATGGAGAAGAACGAGAGGAAAAAGGGAAAGTGGCATTCTTCTGTGGAAATCCTATGGTGGAGATCATCAAGGGAATTATACACATCTATAAGAACAAGTGAGTTGAATGTCAGATAATTATTAAAGCTGCCTAGCATGATATAGCAAAATCTTTAAAAAAAAGCCACCATGTGGAGGACATCTGGGACGGATTCACAATTTTATAGAAGGGGGTTGGAGATATGGACTGCCAAAGGCAGTCCCCTGTAGGGGTGTCCAAGGGCGTCCTCCACTAGAAAACTTTAAAATTGAGGTCCTCGGAAATGAGATTTCCGGCATTCTGAGGCCAGGTCAGAGCATTAGAATGTGTCATTTTTTAAAAAAATTTTAGTGGGGTTCGATCTAACTGTTCCCCCTAGATCCGTCCCAGGACATTTAGTTGGTGGTGTTTACTGGTACATGCGTGTTCTTATTACCAATTTGATTTTCAGATAACTCAAACTGTTTAAAATTTAAGTTCAGATATCAATAAAACAATGAATATCAAATTGAATCTATGAAGTCAATTTTGTTAATCAACAAAGGTGTTCTTAGATTGCTTAATACGTACCTGTTAGTTTGCATCAAGAACTTCAAGATAACATGTTGTTGGAGCGATTTGTAGTTTATGTAATTCTGATAACGGCTGAATTATGTACCTTATTGGTCCGTACTAGTGAGATGACGTCATTGTCTGAAGGCGTTAAACGGAGTGAGATGATCTGCATGCTTGCTGTACCAGCCAAGATGACCTGTATTGAACTCATGCAATTTGTAGCTCCTTCAGAGTGAGTGATTTGATTTCATTGACAGAATGTGTATTATGTATCTTGCAGGGCTGTCATTAAGGGCCATAGCCCATAACACCTGTTACAGCTGAGTATGCTTCATTTTTCTTGATGTTACAGGTGAAATTGCCTGTTGTTGATAGAATTCACTCACAAAGTAACAAATTATTTGTTACGGGTGTGGAGTACAAGGCTATGGGTGACCAGAAACTTAATGACAGCCCGGTCTTGTACTCCAACAAATTTAGAGTCTAAACAAAAGGCGTCTTAGAAAGTAACGCAGATTTGATGGTGTTTGCCAGCATGTGAAATTCATTTATAATTCAGGACATAGTTGTTCAGGATAAGATGTAATTCCTTGTTATTATTATTATTATTAGTGCAATAAATCTTGGTATTTTTGTTCATATTAGATATTGTGGAGAGTCACCAAGACCCATTTTCTACATGTACTTCTGTCAATAACACACACAAGTTTCTTTTCAGAGAATTTATTGAATGTGTCAAGATCATCAGAGATGCCACACCCAATCAGTACATGGTTCTTGTGAAATTTAGGAGTCAGGTAATGTTTAGTGATACTCAGTAATTTGAAGAAATGATGAATAATATTATAGTAAATGGCCTAGAAAGATCAGGAGCCAGTCAAGCCTTGTACTGAAAGGGCCTCAACAGGAAAGCATCCCCCATCCTTGAGACTCAAGATTTCTCGTAAAAATTGTGTCCTTTAAACTGATTTGGAAGATCCAACATTGAATGAAAGCATCCTTTGGCAGTAACTGTGATTTTCTGAGATGGAAAAACACAGTATTTAGGACAACACATATTTAATAGTAGATGAGTTTCACACAGGATTCCTGTTCACCCACTGACACATACCAGTCAAGATGGGTAAGATTTCTTTCTCTTGAAGGAACTGGCTGATGAATTCTACAATACATTTAATGGTCAGCCTTACAATCTCTTAGAGGAAGAGGTAAGTAAAATATTATGCACTGTTTCTCAATCAGTGAGTCAGTGAGTCAGTGAGTCAGTGAGTCAGTGAGTCAGTGAGTCAGTGAGTCAGTCAGTCAGTCAGTCAGTCAGTCAGTCAGTCAGTCAGTCAGTCAGTCAGTCAGTCAATCGACCAAATAACATATCATCCTACCAGTTTCTTAGAGGAACAGGTGAATAAATATTTTGTTTTGTTTCTCAATCAATCAGTTAATCAATCAATCAATCAATCAATCAGTCAATTATTCAGTCAGCCAATCAACTAATCAGCCCGTCAACTAAACAACCAACCAACCAACCAACCAACCAACCAACCAACCAACCAATCATGTTGTCAGTTGGTTGATTGATCAGTAGTCAGTCAGTCAAATTAATTGCCTTTTTCTTTAGGTTTGTCATCTAGTCTATGTTGCTAAAGTGGAAACCAAGAAATTATCAGAGGTACTGGCCTTGACTTTATATTTGCATGACCATGTATTCTTTACTCTAGTCCTCGACATTGTTCTTAGCCATCCAGTGGTTCTTAATAATCCATCATTAATACAATAGACATGTAAATTGGTCCATATTTAAAATAAAAATGAACTTGAGCCATGTTCTCAAAATCAGATTCTGGTTCGTTTTAGGCCCGGTTTAGATGCCGTACTTCACATGAACTTAATTCATTGAATTCGATTCGGCTCATGTGAAGTACGGCGTCTGAACCGCACCTTAGAGATGTTTTTAATAATGTAAGAATAAAAATTATCGCCAATAATTTTGTATTACGTTTCGATGACTCATTCACCATTTTCAAATTCATAAAACTAAAAGTCAGATTCTTGCGAGTTCTTTACATATTAAGAATGCGCGTGGAAGTCATTAGAATCTGACTTTTATTTTTACGAATTTGAAAATGATGAGCGAGTCATCGAAACGTGATTCAAAATTATTGGCGCTAATTTTTATTCTTAATTGTTTATCCTCCGCTATTAGAATTTTGAAAATTTCCTTGGGGGATCGCCGTTAGTTTTATATGGCTTTGTTTTCGTCCGAGCCGAAAACTTAGCAAGATATTTGCGTTTACCGGCACTATTGCTTTCTCTTGCTCTGAAAATGTGGACGACTAATAATGGTACAGCGAACCATGATTAAGAGTTGCAATTATACTAGTCGGAGATCTTGAAAATGAAAGTGATCATTTTCACCCGTCCGTACAAAAGCAGTAGGGCTATGTTTGTAGAATTATAAGTTTCCTATTGCAATACGTTTCGAAACTCTCGTTCTCCGTCGAAAACGATTGATGTAGACAACAAGGGGGAACGTTTTGAAATTATATGCCCTCAAACGAAAACTTGTGTTGACAAGGCCATATACATATTTGCCTTTTGATTGCATGGAAAAAACGTTGAAATAGTCAACGAATTGACACTTTTTAACATATAACGAATCGCGAAAGAGAGATTCAGACAGTTTTGCATAATTTACTTATTACTTTAATTTCATATTTTCACCTTCTCCTTTTTTTCACTGAAGAATATTATCTGACGGAAGGTACTAAGAAAAAAAAGGCCATCTGTTTTATTTTTCTTGCCGCTGGTGAAACAATGCAAATATTTTGCTTGATGTCGTATCAAGTCGTCAGACGTTTTGAGACGTTATTAATTATTAAAAATACAATAAATTGTTTTTTTTTTCGTCTTTGAAGGGAGGAAGTCTGCCGTGTGTGGGTTTAACTGAACTGCCGAAGTGCCCAGTCTGTTTGGAGCGGATGGTAAGAATTTTCCATCGTTTAGAACTGAACGTTTGATAGAAATTATTTCAAATGGATTATCCTTTATTTAGATACGATGAAGAAATTGGACATGGTAGTCCTCCTGAACGAAAGAAAATCAATTATTTTGCGAATGAGAGGCCCTAATTGTAATGTAGTTTCAGTTTAATGTTTTAGAATATCGTTACTGTTAAGTTACACTGTCGAGTGAGAATTAGCGAAAACTGTAACCGAACAGCAAAAATGCCCTCGCGGACATCTCATCGCTCGACTCTAAGAGAATGATTGCATGAAGTCTTAAACGTTGGATAAGTACAGCCATCGCTCGGCAAAATAGTAGAATCTTGTCTTTGAAGGTCTAGTCACAAATTATATAAAAGTATTAAATTCAATTTGAAATTATTACGCCGCGAAGTAATTCGAAGAAATTCAGGACATTTTGGTATATTTTATGAACCTTGTTGATCAGTACAGTCTTTGGCCTAAGTTGGTTCGTTGTTGTTTATATTTTGTATTGCAATAAAATGCAAGTAAAATATTTTCATGGAAAGGATGAGAAAAGCTGTCTGTGTTTGAATGAGATATAAGCCGTTTTTATCGACTTGGCTTGATTAAGCCTACAAAAAAGTTGGTATAGCTTGTTTCAAACGAAATTTATTTATACTATCGGCGACGAAGAATTGTCACAATTTTTATATATTGTATTTTTTTCAATGTGCACTACAGGTGTGATAAACCCAAAGTTATTTTGAACACGAAAATGCAATTACATCGAAACGAAATGTGGCTTTTGCTATTCTTGCGTCAAAATAAAGCTGTCAAATATCTCTTTCGTTTTATGCTTCGCTAATCATTTTTTTTTAATGTTGCTTGCGGGAGCAAATTAATTTTTTCCAACGGGAAGCAAATACATTCGCACCTAAAACCGTCGACACTACATCTGCAACTTGTGAAAAAGAATAAAGCTTCCTTAAAAAGCGAGAGTTTAGTGCCTGCGTCGGCCGGATAGCGTAACAAAGTAAAACAGTTCAGTTTTAATATCATGGACGAATTTACAGGTGATTAAGAACTGAACTTTGTAGCTTATTATTCTGGAGTCATAAAGATTCTTGAAAACAAAGCAGCATATAGACTAGTGCGATAACAATAAAGGATAAAGATAAAGAAGCGTTCACACTGACTACTGGAAGAGTCTAGTTCTTCGACGTACTCGTAAAATATCGTTTACACTCATTCAGTGTAATTCTTGAATACAGTTTTTTGACTTCACAGTTTTGGCAGAAAATTTCTAGTTTTGATCATGGAAAATGCAATTTCCGGCGATTCGTCTGCGAATGACTACCGATATTAAAATTCAGAAATTGGGTATTTCTAATCTGTTGATCTGTTTTAGCTTGGAGCCATGTTAGAAGCAGGTGTTTCAGCTAGTGTTACCATAACGCAGGACTTCAGGCAAGGCATTCTAGGCCGTTGCCGTTCACATAACTGAACTAAATGTTGATGCAGCTTTCGTGTTTTACTTTGCAGGATGAATCTGTTGAAGGCGTTTTAACCATTCTTTGTAATCACTCGTTTCACGGAAGCTGTTTGTCTAAATGGTCTGATACTACGTAAGTTTAAACCTCCTATTGTTCTAAATCAATCATTCAGTCAATGACCGACCGACCAACCAACCAACCAATCAATCAATCAATCAATCAATCAATCAATCAATCAATCAATAATCAATCAATCAATCAGTCAGTCAGTCAGTCCTTCTGTCCGTCCGTCCGTCCGTCAGTCAGTCAGTCAGTCATTCAGTCAGTCAATCAATCAGTGAGACAGTTAGTCATCATTCAAACGGTCATTAAGTCAGACAATCAATCAGTCAGTCAGACAGTCAGTCAGTCATTCAATTAAATTAGTCGGCCCTTCAATCAATCAATCAATCGATCGATCGATCGATCGATCGATCAATCAATCAGTGAGTCTGTCAGTCGTCAGTCAGTCAGCCAGTCATCCAGTCAGACAATTAGTCAGTCAGTCAGTCCTCCAGTCAGACAATTAGTCAGTCAGTCCGTCCGTCCGTCCGTTTCTTAGCTACATGGGCTACCTGACTTCAGTACGCTTCTAAAAGAAAAGGACTCATCCGGTAAAGAGTTAATGCAACAAATTGAGAGACCAAAATAGTGCCAATTCAACGATCTCCACCAAGTTCCAAATTTCACTGCGATGTCTATATGCAATGTATTTTTGTTTTGATTCATTCCCTAGTTGTCCAGTGTGTAGATATTGCCAAACTCCACAACCCGTGGACGGGAACAAGTGCTTTGAATGTGATTCAAATGAGGTATGCATACCCTCTTTTAGCTATTTGACAACTGCGTTAACTTTTTATGAATTTCCTTTATTTAGAGCTAGTTACGATACAGTTTCTTGCTTCCAGTTTTTCTCAAACGCGCCATAACTTGTCTTTGCTTTCTGACAACACTTTGATGGTTTTTCAAACTTCATCCGCCAATCAGAGTCGAGACTCGCATGTGCACGTGTACTACACGTGGCTGTTTTGACTGTTACACCTGTCCTACAAACTTGAATGCTGATTGGCTTTGTGAAGAAACAAGAAACCAACATGTGTTTTCTCTCTCTTGTTTAGAGCCTGTGGATTTGCCTTATATGCGGTCACATAGGATGCGGTAGATATCTGAGGTCTCACGCCAAGAGGTTAGCGTGTGATCTGTTTCCGCGTGATCTCTTGTGGAAGAAGCTGAGTGTAGTTACATCAGTAACAAGTTATGATATCTTACACCTTAATAAAACCTTCCAATGAAGGTACGTTGTGGAAGCTTTGCGGGTTTATTTACATAAGAAGTAAATGAATGAAAATATACCATTTAGCATGCAAAGTTCAATCGCAAAGTTCTGCAAAAAGGTGTCTTTAAGATCGTTTTATTTCCATGCGGATAACTTTGGTCGACTTTATTGTCGCTCAAGCCAACCAATTTCTGAGGGCATTTCTTGGCGAAATCATAACGGAACAGTGTCTGAACTCTAAATATCAAAGAGACTCAGAGTATTGATAATCGTTTGGAATGAAATTCCAGTTATCTGAAGTGTGTCCAAGACAATTCTTGAAAGTTTCCTTTTGTTTTCTCAATTCACAGACATTTCCAAGAGACGCAACACACATATTCTTTAGAACTGGGAACACAGCGAGTCTGGGACTATACAGGAGGTACGGTGTATTTATATATGTTTAGTATTTATACCTAACCATACCTTGTTGGCACACATCGACGGCAGTCAGGCGAGTGTGGTCGAGCCATAGTTCGTATTACGTCAAGCCAAACTACCCATGGCTCGACCAAACAAGCTTGATATGCCGCCGAAGCGTCAAAAAGGTACGATTAGATATTTACCGTACCCAAATTCGGCCAAGTGTGCATGATATCGTAGCCATATCAGGTCAGTGATTTGATATCGCAGGATATCAGAACAGTAGACACGGTTTCTGATTGGCTAATTGCGAACTTGGGTACGGCAAATTGTAAAATTTTGCATGCGGGCTCGTTTTCCCACAGCCAGTTCATTCTCAATTGGTTAATTATCAAATTTTGTTTCATCCTCATCCAGATAACTTTGTACATCGTCTGATCCAGAATAAGGCTGACGGCAAGCTTGTGGAGTATGGTTCAGGACAACAGGTCAGTTAAATCAACCATAATATCGTGTTTTACATTAATTTCGTTTTGTTGTCAGCTTATTACAGTCAGAGTTAAAGTTTGTTGTTTCACTGTCCTATCCCTAGGCCAAAAATCAACTTTATGTCTTTACTTATAGATAATATTCGACCATTGCATGTCGGATCCTTCATGAACTTTTAACACGGTCTTCCAATCACTGTTGCAGGTTATGGATGAAGAAAAAATGGATTCTGTCACGCTAGAGGTAGTTTTGCTTGTTTGCTTGTTTGTTTGTTTGTCTTTAAATTGATGTAACTCTTCAGTTTATTTTTGTCTTATTTTCTAATCAAACTGACCTTTCTGTTTCTAGTACACATACTTACTGACGAGTCAACTGGAGAACCAAAGACTTTATTTCCAAGAAAAAATTACTCAAATTGAAAAAGAAGCAGCGGAGCAGGTAATTAAATATTTGTATCGTCGTCTCTCAGGACACTGTCTCCACAGAACGAAACCATGAAATTTGTCTAGAAAGTATAAGTATAAGTATATTTTACTTCTGTTAGTGTGCTTGTATGTACTTTTTTCTTTTTTTTTTTCCTTCCTTAGCTTTTGCGCATTCGCGCGTTGAGTTTTGCTTAACTAATTTTTATCATTTCGTGTGCCCATGACAACATTTTTGTTTTTTTGTTAAGTCATAGCTTAGGTATCTTAAAGGTAGTCCTTCACTTAAGCCTTATTGGCTTCCCTGGGCTTCCTTGCCTTATACACATTGATATGTTGCAAATATATTAAGTGGCAAAAAAATACAAGAACAAGAAAGCTTGGATGGTCAGTGAAATACTGTGGTTTGATTTCGGTCGCAGCGGAAGAGACCTACTGTGTAAGGACTTAAACGCACGGCATTTACTGCTATCGTGTTGACAGTAATTGCATAGTTTTCTCATGTTGTTTCCAATAAACAAGGGCTCGCACCTCTGCGATTTAGTGCCGTATTATCAAGCCATGATATTTGTGTTTTAACTTTCCCGGTAGACGTCTTTGTTCTAAAGGATAGAAGATTCCTTTTGTAAATATTTCAGGCGAGTTCTATGGAAGAGCGAACGAAGAAAACACTGGAGGAATGTAAAAGGTTGGAGTTGAAACTTTCTGAAGCCGAAAAAGAAAAGAAAAATGTGGACAAAAAGTATGCACAGGTAATGGTTCGCCAAACATGGCATTGTGTGTGCAGTTTGTGTGGAAATAATGTAACCGTCACCTCACAAGCATCAATAACTATTGTCAAGCTGACTGTCAATCAGGTTACATCTGGTTCAAGTTTTGAATTTGATTGTCTGTAAATGCGCGACTCCACGATTGGTTAAGGATGTTACACAGTGAACCAATCAAATTACACGGCAAATTGAACGTAGCCAATGAAAGCATGAACCATGAAGAAGTCATGGCCGAAGGATGAAACTGGATCGGCTACGTTCGGAGAAAACGAGGATGTATCACCAGTATATTGGACTCCGGAAGGAAGACGCGAGAGCAGGCTAAGGTTGGTGTAGATAAGTTCAGTTGAAGGAGAACTGAAGGGAAGATTTGTCCTCATCTACGTTGAGACTTCAGTACCTACACAAGGTAGAGAGCATTGGATGAGGTCTTAGCCCTTATGTTAGGGCCTTATGCGCCATATGGTGTTGAAACGCCAAACCACTGAAGAAGAAGGGATGATTGGGGCAAATGAATGGATGATCGGTTTTGCTGACTTTTTCTTACAAGAGTGACAAACTTTAATTCCCTGATTCGTTACAATGTACCATTTTCGAGTTGCCTTTTGCTTCTGTGTCAAAACGAGTCTTCGAGTTAAAACATTCATAATGAAAATGTGTTCCGCATACAGGTTCACTTTCAAGTAAATCAAACTCATGTTCATATGAAAGGTTTTCCACGAGGACTCGTTTTGAAACAGAGGCTTCAAGTATCTCGGAAATGGCCTATTCTTCTATTGCCTCGTTTTGAAACAGAGGCTTCAAGTAACTCAGAAATGGCCTATTCTTCTATTGACTAAACACAAATTTTGTGTTGTTTTGTTGATTAGGTTGTTACTAGGGTTGGAAAGCTCGTCAGTGATCTTAAAGAAGAGCAGGAGGTTTGTGAAGTTTTGTTGTATCTACAATGCACCAGCATGCACAGTTCATGTTCTTGTTTTCTACTTTTGTAGCCCGCTCCAGGCTCCTGGAGGAAAAAAAATGGGCACAAGGTCCTGGACAACGCAAAGTTTTGATTTGAATGTTTAGGTACAGAATACTATGAAATTAGTGTTGAATCTGGATATAGGATTGGATCGCTGTTCTGTCAGTTTATTCTTTCTGTTCGAACGTCTTGATAATAAACTGTTGAACAGCCAGAGACTGCTAACCGCAATCGTTCTGCAATAGAATTCCTAATGCAGTTTTTTGCCAACTTCCTTTACGGCGGCTTCCTCCATAAGTCGAGTAGCAGGTATCTGTCCCATGCATCTTAACAGTAAAGAGAGTCAACTATATTTTTGCCTTTCAGTTAAACAAGTGTTTGCTAGAAAATCAAAAGTTGTGGCAAGAGAAGTTGAAACAAACGGAAGAAAAGCTGCTACAAGAAGAGGCAGCTCGGAAACAGGTATCATTCTCACGGTATTAAGCTGCCGACGGTAGATAGTAAAATATAAACTCTCCTTTTTGCAATACAAACGGTTACCTTCTGTCGAGAAGCAGGACTCAAAATGGTAATTTACCAAGATGGAAAACGGCAAAGAAACGGCAACCCTTGAGAGGAGTACAAATTATCAGAATTAGCGTATTCGTACAAGCCTATGGGGGAGTAAGAGGCGAGAGTCAAGGGAAAATTCACCAACTTCTCTTCCCCAAATGGGCACATTTCCCAATCCCGATCGCTGTCATCAAATTTACTCTCGAGGAGAATTGAAAACGTTCACGGCATCAGCATCCCACGAAAAAACTTCCCCATTGTTTTCATATAAATGGTCACTTTTTAGGATTTCATCCCCAGACTTGCAAGGTAAAATCCACTTTTATTCTTCAGGAAGTGAGTGATCTTCAAGAACAACTAGCAGATCTAATGCGTCACTTGGAGACGCAACAAGCAATAGCGAGCGCACCTGATGAGACGAGACAGGTGAGAAAACGTTATTTCTTCTTCACCGTGGAACCTCCCGTTATGGAAACACCTCATTGCATGGCAAAATTCACTTGAACTTTGCCTCTACAACACAGAAACGTAGTTGAAAGAGTTTACCTTTTTGTGGAGAGACCAAAATTTGCAAACTCGGCCCGACCTGTATGCAGTGGCGGATCTTGAAAGAGATGTAAAATATTTCGTTCATTATTTTTCAGGAGTTGCAAGATGGTCAAATTGTTGTGGGCGAGGGATCGTCTTCCACGCACCAATCAAAGAAAACTCGACGGAAAAATAAAACATAACGCAATATGTAAATAACCGGAAATGACATCACACTGACGTCACTAGCGGAAGTAACAACACTAGGACGGACGTCACGCAACTAGAGGAAAAGTCGGTGCCAAAGGAACCGTAGCTGCAATGGCATGCTGTTTACTGAAATAGAAGGGACGCATATGTATTTATATCCTGAGAAAGATCGTTAAAAAGAAGAGTTTTTCGTGAAAGAAGCATTATATGCAGTCCTCACTACAGAGAACTTGATGAGAACTCTATCAGATAGCAGTCCACTGGAGTGTGAGGTGGAAAATTGAGGCTGGAAAAGACTTATACTATCAGAAGATCTATACAGTCACGTTTGTGAGTGACAAAGGCGTAGTGGAAGTCAAAAAAAGTTGGTCGTCACGTTATTGTCCGGGCCGTCCGTTCGTACGTACGTATGCCACTTACACTGCGCGTGCGCAAATTTACAAGCTTTCAAGGTCTTGCTCTTATTCATAAGAAAGACAGTTACCTCTTTTGGCCTTGAACAATGTTTAAGAGGCACTGAAGAGAAAAATCATGGGGTAGAGAGCCATAAAACCTTGCTGGTGAAGAATACCTGGATAACGGTTCTTCTTTTGATCGCAAAGACATGTCGATCACTAAACTTTCAACTGTGTTTTAAATACAGATCGCTGATTTAATGCAGCTTTACAAAATGGTAATGTACATTAAATTCGACTGTTTTGAAGGACTGGTAAAGCTATAACCGATACTGAAATGAATGCAAAGCCGTCGGTAACTGAACTGTAAAACCACACGTGTTTGAAATTGTGGACGGGAAGTAGCAACACGATAACAAACACGAGATGAAACTAGATACAAGGAGGCGCTGATTTATACATTAAACTATGATACCCCACTTTAAACTCTTTAATTCCCATAGTGATAAAAACATACACTTGGTCTGGCACTTAAACAGCCGCTTTACACCGGTTTACAAGATACGTAAGAACAACTGTATAATGTGTATAGAAGCTTAGAGCAACGCGCTGTAGAGTAAGGCGTGGCTTCAGTTACTCTTGGTTATTTCAAATAAAATAAATTCAATTGGAAATCAGTTTGTTTTTCGATCATGGAAAGGTACCCTTGTATTCTCGATGCAGCCCGAGTTGAATGGTTTGGTGTGACGTCAGTTTATTCCGAATGCCAAGATAGAAAGAAAAAAAGCAAGAAAAGAAAAAAATACAGAACTGGAAAAAATGTACTCCTCCTCGCAAATAATGCACACGTTACAATGTAGTTGGCGCGTCACACAATCTTTCCCGCAACGGTGTTTTTATGTTCAAGCGATCCAAATGAAACATGTTCTGAAATTTAATACACACAACCGTGCAAGGGAGACCCAAGAATAGATATATTTGCATGTTATTTTCCCTTTAATGACGGAAATTTCTAAGAGTTAATGTGACTATCTCGAGGACAGGAGCGTATCCAGTCAGTTTTGATCAAGCCATTTGCACCCACAAAAATCTTGCAGGATAGCACAACTGTCTGAACTAGCAAGCAGGAGGCAAAGCTTAAATCCCGTCAGTGTCCCGTTCAATCACAACATTTCTCCCATGACCTGGAGCCTCCATATAACGTGCTGTATTAGTGAGACAACCGTTTGTTTTCTACATCTTTCTACTTTTAGAAGCGGAGGCGCGGTAGCCTTATGGTTAGTGTGCCCGACTCCGGATTGAGCGGTCCGGGTTCGAGTCCTGGCCGGGAACGCTGTGTTGTGTTCTTGAGCAAGATACTTTACTCTCACATTGCATCTCTCCATAATCCACCCAGGGGTATGAATGGGTACCGGCAAATTTAATGCTGGAGGTAACCGTACGATGGACTAAGTAGCACCCCATCCAGGCGAGAGTAGAAATATTCCCAGTCGCTTCATGCTATACAGAAACCTGGATAAGTTCCGGCCTGATGGGCCACTTGGCTAGTATGCAGACTTAACCTTTACCTACTTTTAGAAACAACATTTATTGCACAACTAAAACGTCATTATTCTTATCAGCACTGAACGTTTTACATGGCCAGCTCGGTCGGTCATTTAACGCGTAACCATTTCAAAAGGGCGTCTTGAAGTGAGGGTGCGGAAAGCAGTGACGGCACGAAATCAATCTCTAAAAGTAAAAGGATACAGGCAATTAAGGTTGCCCTTGACTTTAAGGCTTAGTATGGGAGATGGAGGCTCCGGGTCATGGCTCCTGTCCCTCTATGTTGCCTGAAATTTTTCAGTTGGTCAATTCGATACACTCTGAAAGCTTTCAAAATCGTAAATGTAAAATGAAGACTGCAGACTAACCCTAACCTTGATCAAAGACCATCAAATGCTACCTAAAAACTAACATTAACTCTGTAAATCAGCTCTGACCCTAGATCTGTTTTAGCCTGCTGTCTACATTTTGCACTGTAGACTGAAATTAGTCTTAATTAAGGTCATTGCTCACATCTGCATCGCCTATCCTTACTGCGCATAATTTATGGCGACATTAGCGCGCGCTCGTGCATTCTCATATTGAAAACATCACTAATTTGCCTTGATATTGAGCTCTGTCAGTTGAAAAATGGCTCTAGCTCACCAACGAGCACGGGCACCCCAATTTTTTTTCCAGTCATTGTAATCAACTAATCATAAGCTTTGCGTGAGAAAAGACTGATCTAATTTCTATTGCTGAAAATTGAACAAATAAGAAAAATAGCAGATACACTGTGGTCTTTTCTATTCTGCAGTTTGGTAACCACGTCAAGAAATTTGGTTCAAATTTTTAATCAAGGATTTAGCTTTCTGTCTGAATTAAGCTTAAAATGTTTATGTGTGCGACACAATGTATTGACTGCAGTTTAATGCGTGTTCTTATGAGTCTGAGCTCACAAAGATTTTACAATTACTGGGAATGCGGTTAGCTTTAGCTAGTGTAAGTGCTAATTTACAGGTTTAAGATTTAGATCTAGTTATTATTTGGTCAAGGACTCAAGGTTAGGGTTTCTATTTTCTCACAAGGATGAGGATGACTGATTTTCTCACTTTTTTTTTCACTCATTTCTCAGATTCAAACCAATCAGAGTTCAGATATGACTCGGCCAATCAGCGGTGGTATAATTCTTTAGTAGAAACCTTACGTCACCTCGCGCAACACTTCTCGCGCGCTTGAAAATATGAAAGGGAACGTGAGCTGAGGATTCTCTTTGGATAGGCTCTTGTCCAGAGCCCGGGTTTCCGGGTTCTTTTGTAATAAACAGATGGCGTCAAACGAAGGTGAAGATAGTTCTCAAGATCTTCTAAACTCAGGTAAATGTCATGAAATGTCCATCGACGAGATCTTTTGATAACATGCACAATAACACGACATCGAAAAGCGTGCATTTTGATCTTCGATAAAATTGTACCTTTCTATTTCTTTCTACATTCAGATGAGGGTAAATCTTTTAAAGTAATTGGAGGATGCTTGAGGTCATCATCGACTTTCAAAGTTGGGAGAAAGCTGGCTTGCAAATTTCGTGGTACTGACGATACAGGTATGTACATTAAGCTTGAGTCGAGCTTGGTAGAAACAGGATGTGAACAGTCGATGATACAGACATCGGTTATTCGTTTAATGCATAACCTTATTTAAATAAAACGTCTACAGATTTGTCTGCAAGAGAAAATTATGTTTCGATGGAATTTAAGTCTCACAACAGTGTTTCCGCTCAGTGCGATGTTATGTTAATACAGACCATTTTCGCTCTCAGAGCCTTTGGCACAACTCCCTTATAAGAATCGATAACAGACCAATCTTCTACAAAAAATGGCAGCAAAAAGGGATTAACAAGGTTTCGCATTTGATGAAAGATTCAGACACCTTCCTATCCTTTTCTGAATTCAAAGATCGGTATGGTATCACTGAAACAAATTATCTTGCTTTTTATGGGC